CAACTTAATTTCTTTAGGAAACAAATTATTGTGAGATATCCCAAAAAATTGGAGATTCTTAAGGTAACAAATTTGGAGATTTTTATGCCAAAATTATAATTCATTTCATAATACGAATCCTATTTTATATTAAAGTTGTTAATATATATATATTGTATTATGAACGACACATTATGAATCACACGTACTCTATAAAAATTATTAAATAATATTTTGATATCCATCTTTCCTAACTAATTAATGCATATCCTCCACAATAAAATCCTGCCCGAGTCAATTTTGACTTGGATTGGATGCAAATGAAACGATCAATTATTTATAATTTAATAAATTGTTTAATTGTTTAATTTTTTTATTTAGATAGTTCATACAAAATTTAAATTCATTTTAATTAATAAAATAATATAAGTTTTACAATTATACTTATTATTCGAATAGATTTTTAAATAGATGACAAAATTTTATCAAAATATTTATTTTATGGAATTATATTGTAGTCAAATCAAATTTCTCAATAAAATTTTAAAATATCACTTATTTTTTAATAAATTGATGTAATTATTATTAGTTCGTGCATCACACGGGTTGTGTACTAATTTTAGATAGACATATTTTATGTAATTTTGCACAATTCAAATATTAAATAACATTTTCAATGAATTAATATAGGTAAATCGTATTACATGTTGATTCAGTATTTTTAATTTATAAATATTATTTAATGAATATTTTTAATTTATAAATATTACTAAATATTTCTTACCCGTGCATCGCACGGGATTTGTTCTAGTATATTTAATATCAATAGATAATATTCACACAATAATTATATCCCTCTATTTTCTCTTATTCAAATCTTGTTTTGATATATTATTTTGATTTATAAACAAGTTATGCTAAAGTTGAAAAATTGTCACGAATATTATAATCAACACTTAATTGGAAAAAAAATAATATTGTAATATATATTATTCTAAAGTAAACATAAATTATAAATTAATGTTATTTTATTCTTTCTTATAATTTATAGTATTATAAACATTTTAATTTTTCTGTCTAATCTATTGATTTATGTAAGATTTGTTATGATATTGTGAATTTCAATATTAAATTTAAAAAATTGGTTTGGCGCAGTTATTGATAAATCAAAAGATTTTTTATCTCCTTGAATAGATGATTTTTGGTGTATGACTCGTTAAGAAAAGAATAGAAAATCGTAGCGATTAATTCTTAATATTGAGATATCAATTATTATAGGATTGGGGTAGTTATACCAATGAGATTTTTGTAATTGATTTTAAAATTTATGTGTACTTATATTATGCAAAATTTACACGCATATTTCGATCTAAAAATGGTTGGGTACCCAACAAAACAGGAGGACGCATTTGTTATTATGGATAAAGATTAATTTGTTATTAAAGATAAATAGTTAAATTTCTTTTGATATTTTAGAAATATGGGGTATATATTTTTTGAAAAACTGGAACAATTGAGGTAACACCCCACCTTCTAATACTAGAAATAATAAAATCAGAGTAAAATTTTTGCTTTTTCTTTTCGAAACACTCTTTAACTTTATTTTCGAAAATACTCATGCTGACTCGCGGGATGCTACTAATTGATTTCTTTCTCATGCAAACGTAAATAAATACATGCAACCTAATCAAATCCGATATACAAAGGTAACACAGAGATAGAAGAATTATACATGCATACGTCTGAAATCTCATGTAATAACATGCTAGTTCTGAAAATGCGGAAGCTAAACAAACTGAATACACGCGTAATAGTAATAATACATGTTCATATGAATGACATGCATATGCGTTACAATAGTACTTCTCATGACCACGCGCCGCTAGTGCTCACGCGCCACGCACCGCTCTGTCACCTGAAAAACGTAATGGGGGCGTGAGCAAACCACTATGCTCCGCAAAGACCAGTACCGAATTAAACATCATCGTTAATAACTATATCATGACTTAAGTATATAAGTACTGAACTGAAACTGTATCTAAAACTGTAACTATAATTGTAACTGGGCGTCTAGTGGTCATAAAGACCCTGGGCTTAAAGTCGCTAAATCATGTGCACACTTTGGAGGATCATTAAGGCCAATTAAGGCCTCCCTCAGAACCTACGGGGGATCATTAAGGCCCGCCACGGCCTCTCTCGTGGTGATAGCCACAGGTGGAACATTAAGGCTCGCTCAGCCTCCAATCCTGTGCGATAAAATTTTCTCATACATACCACAGGTGGAACATTAAGGCCCGCTTAGCCTCCAATCCTGGGTGATATACTTTGAACCCAGAAGGGATCATTAATTGCCTCCCTTCTGGATAAACATAATGTACTCATACATACCTCGGACATGGTATGAAAATTAAAGATGATGTATAACCACTACGTAACCCCCACCTGATAAGCTGCTACTACTAGGCAAGTGTTGGATGACTGGTAGCTGGCGGAGGCTCGACTCTCCTTAAGCTACATAAATATTTGAGCAAAATGTACTAAGTACTAAGCTCAAACTGAAAACTTGATTCTTATTATTATTTGATCTTACTAGGTTCGCTCGTTGGATT